TGCAAATAATCAAAATGTTGATGAATATCGTTTTCCAATTGTTTATAATAAAGAGAGGAATTTGATATTAGTAAGGCATAAGACATATATTTATATCATCAGAGAAATTAATGATGCCAAATACAAAATTTATCATTAACTCAATTGTGAAACAATTGGTATTTTTGGAACTATCACAAATAATGGGTAATATTTGGTATATTGGGATAGCAAAAAGTAAGAATATTCAACATATGAATTATTAAATTAATGAACTATTATGGATATTTATATAATTTATGATATTTTTCTAAAACATCAAGCGCACAAAATACGATTAAGTTTATAAAAAATTTTGATTCTAACCTTTGACAAAGAATATAAATTTCAATTGAGATCTCTACAACAACTTTGAAACTTCATAACAGAGAGTCAAACGATTTCTTTCAATTTATTTATTTTTAGTTTTTTTCAGGTTTTTTCTTAATATTAAATACTGTTTACAATTTAAATTAAGTTGTAAAGAAATTTATTCTTAATAGAAAAAATATAAATTTGATATTAAGCTAAGATGTTCTAAAATCTTTGTTCAACCGATTAAAATTGTTGATTTTAATGGTTTACCAGATGTACTCGGATGCCTTACACAAGCAAAAGTATCCTTTTTGTAACAGAAAGAAGGTTTGAACAAATTTGAAAGAATGAGCCCTAGATGAAAATAATTTGATGGCTCAAAAAGTTAGTAAAAGAAACCGATTTTCAAAAATAATTTCTGCTCAAATTTTCCTTGAGGATGGTTATACTTGCTTTAAACTGATTGAAGTTGAAAAAAAGCATCAATTGTTCTCTGTCTACTTCTTAGATCAGTTCTTCTAATTGCTATAAATAATAATCCCTAATATCAAGATTCTAATATCAAGATACTTATAGGTTGGAATTTTTAAGACTATCTAGGTTTCTCTTTGGATGTTGTAGAAGTAGCACAATAAAAGTAAAATTAACACCTTTGCCGTATTTTTAAAGAAAACTTTCAAAATCAGACATTCTTCTTCTTTTCCAATAAGTATTCATATATAATTCTTCTTTTTACTTTCAGATCCTCTCAACTAAATTCTAGTTGCAGAGAGAGTTAAATTTGTATTGTTTGTAGGCAATATTATATTATATCCAGATCTAAAATTAAAATTCAACTATTCTTAAACTCCTCATTAATTCGCAACATATAGTTACGTCATTTATTAACTTCAACAACCCTATAAGTATAATAGACTCATCAGACTTAGATAATTCTTTTTAATTTATTGTTAATGTTAAACAAACTCACCTATTCCATACCTAACATAGCATTTCAGAAGGCTTGTCATAATTTAACACACAAATTTCTTCAATTATCTATTTTAGAATTTCATATTTTAGATTATAATAAAATCCATCAATGCTGCTCGATTTGTAGTCAGTTATCAAAGTGTTAGGATCTTCATTAATTTTCTTTAATTATTATCAGTTGCTCATTCAATTTTTCTAGGTGTTAAATTATCCCTTTATATTTTACTCTTAAGATTTAGATTGATTTTTAGCACTATCAAATAATATAGAGAAGATTTTATTCCAGCTGAATTTTTCAACTAAATCTAGTCTTACCACTATTTTTGAATGATAACTTCATTTAATATTCTGATAGAATTCTTTTGAGCACCAATCATTGTATATTGTATATCTAGTCAAGCTAACTAATTAATTGTTTGCACAAAAATGAAACACAAAAAAAAACATTGTTTTATCATAATTTTCTGATGATGTCATAACTAGGGCATTTGAAGGGAAGTTCTCTTAAGTCTTCTCTGAGAAAGAAAGAGGTAGGGGAGGCTTATAATGAATGCAATGACATATAGAGAAGTGAGGAAATGATAAGGGGAAAAAGAGTGAGATTCAAAGACAAAGAGGCCCCTAATACTCCGGGCAAGCCTAGGTGCTTGGAGGAGGATTTTAAATTATGTTGAAATGATACAGAGTAGTATCATATTTCAATTAAAGTCAAGCAGTATGTTTTTTCTCTTTCTTAAATAAGAGCATAATATACAATTAAACTTCTTTGTTTGTATAAACTATGACTTTCAACTCTTACATATTCTGGAGGTTCATAATTCAATTTTCCTGATTATGGTTAAAGTTTGATGGAGCAAGCACCCATCATCATATGTTCCTCAAGCTCTTCTATTTCTAGGGTTACTTCCTCACTATAAAATAAATAAACTGTAGCAATATCAGTAGCACAGGAATAAAAATTCAAATCAGTATTTCAATTTCCATGATTTTGGTGATACTTCTTTGTGACGATTTGTTTTGAGAAAAATAATATTATGTAATGAAGTGAAAGAGTAATTAACCCAAGTTGGGACTTTTGATTATGATTTTCATAAACATTAAAATTTTTAGGGCAATTTACTTGATTGATTCTTTCATTCATCAAGGATTCACTCAAAGAGATTAAGTATTTGAAAATTAGTTAAATCAATCATCAGATTATTTTGTATTAAGGTTTCATAGCTAATTCAGTTGGAGAGAGAGAGATTTAAGAGATTTAAGTGGCAAAATAATTTTAAACACGATAAGATTTAAGATATAATATAAAATAGCATATGACTCTAAGCCAAATTTTAATAGAAATTAAAGTACTTAAATTTTGAATCCTTGAAAAATACTTGACCAAAAGTGCTTTGTTTCAAAGCAATTTTTAATAACATACTTGCAATTTAGAAAAGTAAAGTATAAGGCACTCTTTAAAAAATGCTTAAATCGGGTGATTCGGATATGGTGAAGAATAATAATGAACTTCTAATAAGATCATAATGCCTTGTTTCAGTGGTTAAAATAAGTGATCATAAATTACAGATTCTTACTGCCTTTAGATTAATGTTTAGTATATTTTGATCTTCTTTTTGATAAAGTTATCCAAAATTAGCTGAAATTTGCAAGTTTAAAACTATAACTAAATTCTAAATTATTAATAAAAAATGTCTCAGTATGCTCTTTTATTTGAAAAATATGAAAGGGCTTTAGAATAAAAGGTAAAAAGAGGCTTAAAATGTAAGAATTAAAATGTAGAATAAATTAAATGGCTTTAAGTAAAAATAAGGACTAAAAGTCCCGCTCTAGAAGTTTGATAAAATGTGATAAATGTAATAGTAAAAGAAAAGTAAAAATATACAAATCAATTAAATAATTAAATGTATAGGAGTATAAAATTCTTAAGTCAGAAATGTAATTTCAATCAAAGAATTTCAAAATTCTTGAAGAATAGGAAAAGCAAAATAAACTCAATAATTTAATAAAATAAAAATTTAAAAATCAAGATGTTCTTTCATTTAATAAAAATTTACATTAATCTGCATGAACTAATTATAGGCTTTTTAATTTAGTTTAGTACAAGATTAATCTACAACCACAAGTTGTAGAATGAAAATGTATGAAAAAGTAACACATCCATCATCACAACTTAATACGAGATGATTTGAAAAGGAGAATATTAAATAAAGTTATTTTCAAAGTCCTAATGCTCTAAAGAAAAAATTCTTTAAACTACTTTAAGATAAAGACTTCAGGAATAACCATCTAATGCTTATTCTCATTACATTCCAATAATTACCTCATTCAAATTAATTATTCCATAATTAGACTCTCCTTTGAGCTAATTTCCCTATTTCTATTTTACAAACTCTTAGTCGTTTCGCAATTAAATTGTCCAAATCACAACTTATTAGAATTTATTCGAACACCAAAAGTCTAATTGTCCCTCGAATTGTAAATTTATTGAATTGTAACATTAGATTTTCAATGCAAAACAAATTGTTAATCTTGAAAAATTACTTCTAATGCCCTTAAACTAATATTCTGATTTTTAAAGATTTCTATAATCAGAGATAGTTTAGAATTATTATTTATGAAATATTATCCGAGATACTTTATTAGATAATCCAATTTAGGAGCGTTCTCATTCTATATTTAAATATGTATCCAATTTCTATAATACAATTTATGCCTAACCATCAGAAGCAATTTGTCAAGATTAATTTATTAATAATTGAAAAATTATTATTTAATTAATATTCATCAATTTAAGTGATTCTAAATCCTTTTCAATATAAAAATTATGGGTTGGAAAGATTTTACTTTAAGGGAGCATTCACCTTCTATAAATGTATTGATAGTGTTTTGGTCAATCTAATTTGCATAAAACCCTTCTTGTAGTAAGTTGAGAATGTTATAAGTTCCAATCAAGAGCTATTCATCTTTCTACAATGTGCAATTGACCTAGACCTTAAATCAGATATTAAATCTG